AACAAAATCTTTATGACAACAATGATCCTTTGATAAATTTACAATATCCTATTAAGTCCATCTGTCCGTCAGTTTGATATATTAGCTACCCAATTAATTAGTGCCATTGTTAGCAATTGTTATATGGTCTATCAGTTTTCTATGGGTCGCTAGCCATAGCTGGTAGTGACTACATCGTGCTTGAGCTAAATTTATTCATCAATTGCAATGAAAAGGAAAACTATATAATAATTTAACCCTTCTTTGCATGATTTTTTTTATTGGTCAAATAAATCAAGGTGATATAATTCATGTTCAAAATTAAAGGAATAATGGTTAAAAAAATAAATTTGACAGCTATGTTTTTTTTTGCAATGAACATTAAAAAGGTATCTAGATACGATCAACTTAAAGTGAATATGTTCTTTTATATAATTTTTGGGCATTCAATGTTATGATGGTAATTTCCACCATTATGCAAAGAAGGGTTAATGTTGTATTTCGTAAAAAAGTTCCGACTTCAATTAGGCCAAAAATAGTTATGTTGATTTTAGTAACTGAATTACTGAATTGATGGCAATAAGATTTTTTATAGGATCAATCTGTAAGTATATTTTTTAGATAGAAAAAGAGTTTTACAAATGAGGTTTATAATTGATGGATGGAGTTATGGGGTAATAAACATGATATAATTAAATTAAGAACTTGTGCACTTTTTGAAGTCGTTTGAAAATGAGTCCTAAGTTAAAATCTTTACCGTATACCGAATTAAGCCAATACGTTAGCCTGTTTCAACGGAACCTAATAAAAATATAAACAAACAAACAATTGACTCGAACATAGACAGTCTGCTAAAGGAAGTCTATTTAGATTTCTTTAAACACCATCTATTTAATACTGTCCTTAAATTTATATTTCAATTTGATATTACAGCAAAACTTTATTGTAATGATCAATATGAATTAAATTTCTATTTAAGTCAAAAACACAGGAGTCACAAGACAATAACACATTGGTTCCATAAAAGTTTTATCAAAATCGGTTCAATGGTTTAATTTTAAAATCAAAATAATTTGTTTTGCTACAATTGAAGTCGAGTTATTGGGAACACAATTCTAATTATATCCTAATATTTATTGCAGTAAAATCGTGAGTTTAAACTAATGGTGCATTATCCATTATGCTATAATATTATACAATCTATTTATATAACTTTAATTTTCGTATATAATATTCTTGTAATTGTTTATTATTTGTAATAAGTTTACTATTGTAATCTTATGGCGGAAACAATAAAGAGTAACCATGGTAATATTACCATATGGCCTTATTGTACTACATTTTTAGTAATAAAATTCATTCATTAATTCATATCTATCTATTTATAACTCTTAACTATTATATAACTCTACATGAATAGCAATAATGAACTAATAGTATTGGAAACTCCAGATAAACTCGCGATATCCATGAATAGATTGCTCTTCATCCGGATTATGGACAGGCGATATAATAGTAGTTATTATAACGTTTAATTGGATATCACAGTTTGAGACAGCTCTACCGAGTTAGAAAATATAATCCTTTCCTAAATGAGCCTTGTTATGCACAGATTAGAGTCGATATTGCTTTGCAATTGGAAAACGTTTTAATAATTCGGCAGAATTATTGCGCCGACTCGTTCATTGCGCGATTTAAAGTTGACCTATTTAATTGAAACTATTATACTAATGAACTGTTGAAGCACTGAATAGTCCTTGTGAGATAGAATATGGATTTTTAAATGCTATTATATTATTCTTAGCCTCTTGAGGTCTATGGTCTGATAACGTGATTGAAGTAAAACATTATACAGATGTGTTCGTGAACGAAATTTGATAGATTAACTATATTCTTAATCCATCATCATATCAGTATTGTTGAGCATAGGTCTCACCTTATTGAAAGAGTCTTGCCACTAGTAGCTACTCTTAGTAAACGGTTTTGATTGAGAACAGCAGTTAGGCTTTGGTGATGTTTTAAGAGGGGAGAGACCCTGCTGTCCATTCCTTGACTATTAAGTTCTCTTAGTCGCCTCTTAGAAAAAAAGTAAACGAGAGGAGAGCGTTGATTGAAATAATAAAGAGTAGAAGAGGCAAAATGCTGGGCCACCTTATACGACATGACGATTTTTTTAAGAGCATAATAGAAGGAAAGATAGAGGGCAAAAGAGGAAGAGGAAGACCGAGGATTAACTACATGGGACAGATAAAGGAAATACTAGGCGTCATGACGTATAGGGAGATAAAGGATATGGCCTGGGATAGAGCTGGCTGAAGGAAGATGCATGAATTAGTTGCACCGACAAGAGGAAACTCTTAAATGAAAATGAATGAGTCGCCTCTTACGACAACTACAGGAAAAGGTGCATTCTATGCCGGACTATACGACTATGTATATATGTATATTTAATTTACCAGAGCATTCTATGAGTCAACTCTGTTAGGAAAGGAAATAGATTTTTTTTTAATCCACCAAGGTGGCAAATAAGTATATACCCCGTCAGATGGTAAATGGTTACTGTAGCCTGTGAACGCCTTTAAGAGAGTCACGCGTTTGAGATGTCACGTGCACATTGGGGACCATAAAGAAATCTTAATACATTCTTTTTGAAGAACCTCATACACAACCTCAGTCTTAAAGAACCACAGTCTCTAGGGTTTGCTCCATATTCCTAGGGAAAAATTATTTAATTTTATGAATATTAGCACTACATTTCAGGCTTGATATAATGAAAATCAACAAACGCGTAAGTTTCTACACAATGTCTGCTTTTTCTTTATTTTTCTGACAGGAACTGTCCGCGTAAGGTAAATTTCATGAATATTCGTCTTGACGTAAGTAATAATAATTAATATCAGAGTACGGCTATTGTATAAATTCAGTATTTTCTTCGTAAAGCTGTTTTTATCTAAGCAAACTAATTGTTTAATTAATCCACTTAGCCAGTAATTATATAATTTCTTTATTTATCTGCAAAATCTTTAATTCGTAACCTTATTATATGAGTTCTTTATTACTATTTAATTTATTATTTTATTGTTATTATTATTTAATCGGTTACAACACTTTCTAAAGTCATTAAGCTGTCATTGTATCTAGGTTATTATAGATTGAAAATTTTCGATCAGATCGATACTGTAGGATACGGATTCATATATTTCTGCTATTTGAGCTAAGAGTGTTTCACGAAAGGAATATTTTAATAAACTTTTTCAAAGGTTATTAGGATAATAAAGTTTGTTGGCCTGTGCTCCTACATTTTAGAATATACAGTTTTTGTTGGAAGTTGCCTAAATATCTTAAATATACTTAATGCAGGGTTACGTTACTTAAATTTTCTCAAATATCATTCTTTTTTTCATCACATTAGTCTATGACAGAATGAGTTATAGAGATGATGATTAAGACCCATAAAAATTAGTATGACTATAAAGTAGATAAACGATTATTCAGTCGACCACCAGTTACCAAATGAGCGATTGACCTATTTTAATAATCAAATGCTTGTTAAGTCTACAATTTCAAATTGATTCGAGTTATTTGATTTGAAGGGAGAGTTTTTGAGAGTATAAACCTTTTTTTTTTAATTTGCATTTTTATTCAGTTCATTGACATTTGATAATCGGGCAGGTAACTGTTTTACAGTTATTGCTGAAGAGTAATTTTGTGCCCTTGATCAAAGTTTATTGTTTGATTTGTAATCAAATATAAATATTTTGTTGTGTATTTATTTATTTTTTTATGGAACACCAACAGCATATTGCATTATAACATATAGGTATAACAAACATTAAATATAATACAATATTAATGCACATGCCTAATATAGGTATTCACAGCATTTACTTTAACATAGTTATACAGTGCGAGAAAAAGAAGTAAATAATAAAAATAAACATGTAACCTAAGTTGTGAAATACTATTATGAGTGAATTGAATTAAAAAATATAATATATATATATATATATATATATATATATATATATATATATATATATATATATATATATATATATATATATATATATATATATATATATATATATATATATATATATATATATATATATATATTTATTATGATAATCAGAGTTAATTTTTATTAGACTATTGTACAAAGTGTTTCAGCAATTTATTCCTGTAGGAATTCGAATTATCATACACTATATCAATATCAGGTAATTTGGCATTAATTTCATTGTATGACGCACTAATCCTGTGTGTTGTGTATCGGGTACATCCCTAAAATGTGACTGTAAAAATGTGTATTTTATTAAAAATAATATTATTCATTGCATTTAAGAACTGATAGTGTAATAAAACATGTTATAGCCTGTTTCAATAAATAAATGAAAATGTAAACAAATTAATATCTAATTTAGTATGTCTCGAGGCAGTCTGTTGATACTCAATAGTAATATTTGGGGGGCTAGTAATATACCCAATCAGGCCGATCTTCATGTTGTCCTCACTGGAAACCATCGTGTTGAAGTCCAGGGTTATTCATCACGATGGGTTAATTGTCCTGCTTTTTTATCCTCAACTATCATAACTGAGACTAGTGTGATATATATATATATATATATATATATATATATATATATATATATATATATATATATATATATATATATATATATATATATATATATATATATATATATATATATATATATATATATATATATATATATAATCATCAATACATATAATAAAATAAAAATCATACTGATTGCTGTCTGTACATGGAATGGAATACTTGTCTGTTTGTCTGTACGTTTGTGCACGCTAAACTCAGAAACAGCTTGGCAGCAGTTGAATTAGCTTAATTTTTTTTTATATATGTATCGTTTTTAGAAAGTTCTGTCTACTCGTACGAAGCTGGGTCGGATCGCTAGTCAATAATATAAACTCTCTTTCGTACTTGAGACACATTAGTAAAAAGTTTAATAAACTTTAAAAGAAATATTTCTTTACAGATCCGTCAAAGTTAATTAAGCGAAAAAAGTCCACGGACGATGTACGTTCGCCACTTGGCGGGGAAGGTTCTCTGACCAGTGAAGAAGGTGAAGAACCAGGAGTCGGGAGACGGAAGAAGGCCAGAACAACGTTCACGGGCCGGCAGATCTTTGAACTGGAGAAACTGTTCGAAGTGAAGAAGTACTTGTCCTCTGGCGAAAGAGCCGATATGGCTAAACTGCTGAATGTTACTGAGACTCAGGTGAGTAAGGAAATTTTTTAAATTAATTATTGTAAGTAGGAACCTTGGGGATACAAGCGTAGAGTTTAGTACAAGAATCGTTGGTAAAGTGTACCTTATCCAAGTATGTAAAATAAATAAATAAATTTGTCTACGTTCGGTATTCAAAATGAACCTTCCTAGAAATTGATATTTATTTATACTTACTTTACTTTATGCTCAAAAACTTATTTAACTTTATACTCAAAAATTTACTATCTTAGATAAAGATGTACAACAGGCGAGTTTAACTCTGTAAGAGTTCTCTTCCAGCAAACCCTGAGTGAAAAGGAGCATTGATTTTAGTTTTTTTTTAAACAAAGAAAAGTAGAGTATGTGTTGTAAGGATAAAAAGTTAATTGTTTCACCAAAAAGCTGCAGTGTTTGGAAACTAACTGTAAAAATGATTTCTTTATATGATTGAATTCACAAGGGCTGGAATGTTTACTATTTGATTCTGTAAAATCTAACCATAGTTGTTTGTTGTATCACGTCGAATAGGGATGTATCTTATAAGGACGTAGACACAAGGAAATAAAATAAATAAATACAAAAATATATTTAATGTAAAAATGTGAATAAACGTTTTGATATGCACATTACCTAATCTATTATGTAACCTCACATTTTAAGAGTATATCAAGCGTGGTTCTAGATATGTGAAGTATTAGGGTTCCGTACCAAACAAGGAAATTAAGTTCATCGTCCGTTCCTCCATTCGTTCTGCTACCACAGCACTAAATTGTGGCTGCAGTTTTAGATATTAATATTCGCCATTGTTGTATTTGGTGGAACTTTAAATATATATTGATATTATTACTGAAACACACACCTATATATATATATATATATATATATATATATATATATATATATATATATATATATATATATATATATATATATATATATATATATACACATATATATATATATATATATACACATATATATATTAGGTCGACCACCACGCGGTTCTCCCTGGAAACCATCCTGATTAGAGATGGGCAATCCACCTGGGTGGGTTTAAAGTCTGGTGGGTAAAAACCGGGTGTTTTGGGTTTATTGGGTTTAAACCCCATAAACACCCAAATTTTTGGGTGTTTATGATTTTGTACTTCATCATCGTCATCTCAGCCGCAAGACGTCCACTATACTGGACATAGACAATATTATTATGCAGCCTACAGAATAAAAAACTTTTAATTTGATTTTGAGTTTATTAAGAAAGAGATGAAAGTAAAATGTAAAACTACAGTCAATCACTGTCAGATTCAGAGTTATTACAAGCGATGAATTGTATAGGTTCGATAGGCTCTATTTCGTCTAAACTGTTATGTTCATTTACTTGCTCAATGAAAGCTTCTAAGGTATTTTCTTCATTAAACTGAATGTCCTCGCATTCAGCTTTATGTTTAAGATTCCAGTTATAACAAATGAATGAAATTTTTTCAGTTCTTTCAGTTGTAAGTCGATTTCTTTTGTTATTATGTATGTAGCCTTGGATACTAAAGGAACGCTCAGTGGCTGCCGAAGTACAGGGAGCTGATAGAATACGAATCGCTACTTTGCTTAACTCAGTGGAACCACAAATACCTTTCCACCATATTAGGGGCTCAATGCTATCTAATGAGCTCCATACAAATCCTCTGGCCCAAAAGTTTTCTTTAGCTTTATAACACGCCAAATCTGCCATTACATTTGACAAACTTAAGTGTTGGCTTAAATTGTAGATAAACTCCATACCCTTAAGTTCTTCCTCTTGAGTAAGTTCGACTCCTAGAGTCCTGGGGTCTAGAATATATGCTGCAAAATGTATTGGCCTCATTGCCATATTGCATCTTGAAGATACTGATGTTAGAATCTGCTGTTTGCTTTCTTCGCTCAATGTCGAAATCTCATTTAATGCAAAACGTATCTTAGCTTGTACATCTCTAAATGTAATGTATGTGCGATGCAAACGATTCTGGTCGCTCTCTAAGTAAAATATGCTTTCAGTGACTGGTTCCAAAATACTTATACATTCCCCTGTCTTCGTCCAGAAATCATCACTTAGAATTAAATCTTTAATATCTCTTGAAATTACCACATCTTCTCTAACTGTTAATATTTGCAAAGCTATCTTATTTGCTTTCAAACTTTTTAACGAAGTAACATGACTTCCCCATCTTGTAGCACAAGGCAATTTTAGTGTTTGTGTAGAATCTTCACCCTGCCTTGATTTTATCAACAAGGAACTTAATCGTTGACTCCTTTTAACAGTTTTTATTATATTTATGGCTTGCATAATAAACACAGTTACTTCTTGTATCTTTACAATATCTTGGCACAACAAGTTAAGGATATGTGCACAGCAACCGAGAGGAACAACATGTGGATATTTGAGTTTTGTTAATTCGAATGCCTTTTGTATATTTCTAGCGTTATCGCCAATAAGTACAAGAAACTTATTTGCTCCATACACTTTCATTACTTTTTCAACTTCTTGGCTAAGGTATTCACTAGTGTGAGGATTACTTTCTGTATTCAAACTTTTAACGTATGCAGGTTGAGGTTTTGATATAAGAAAGTTTATTATTCCTTCATTTCTTAAATTAGACCAGCCATCGCACTGAAGGTGTAAGTAACTACAAGCATTTAGTTCCTCATTTAACTCAAAACGCATTTCTCTATATATTTTATCTAAGTATTTTGTCGCTAAAGCTTTACGTGAAGGTATTTTAAATTTTGGTTGCAATTTTTCGAAAAATTGTATCCATAAAGGATGTTGCACCATCGATAATGGCGTCCCTGTTACAAATATAGCTCTGGCTAATTCTGTTTTTATATGATCATCGGTGTCTTGAAACTCAGCATTTATTGTAGTGTTAGCAGACGACGAGGGGCTTATAAAAGAATCATTTGTCTCTATCTCTGACAGTCCAGACATTTTGGTTTTGGACGAGCTATCTTTTATAAGTTTCATAGAGTCTTTTAATGTTTCTGGAGATTTTGGACAAGTGATAAGATGTTGAAGCATTTTGGCAGCATTACTGAATTTGTAGACCTTATTACAAAGCTTGCAAGAAACAGACTTGTTTAGTAAAGTACGGTAGTGCTCCCATATGCGTAAATCTTTAGGTCTCCCCATTGAACCTAAAAAAATGAACGATGATTAGTTGGTCTGACGAAAATTCAACAATAGAGTGCCTATTTTTTTACAATGATTATTTCTTGTTATTTACAATAAATTTATTAAAAAAATAATAAAATAAATACAAAAAACCTTTGTAAAATTACATCTCCTCGGAGGATTAAACGCAGACGCTAGTTTATTATCGTATTGTTCTGTATTTTTCTCAGCAACTTCTTTAATTCGATTAGGTACTTACGCATATTATGTTAAAAATAAATATCTAGTACACATCTTAGGCTATCCACCATTATTATCCAATGACGACTCTCAGCTAACTATGCACTATCATCCAAAATAAACGTGTATGGAAAATTTTATCCCAGTCGGTTGAGGATTGAGGATAATTGCATCAACATACGAACATACCTACATACTTTTATTTACATAACGCAAGCTAAATAAAAGCTTGTAATAATACATCTAATTTTAAGTTAAAATTGTTAAGTGATCATGATATAATTGTATCATTCAAAAATCCACTTACCTTTAATTATTTCTTGTTAAGTATAAATATTATTTCAAATCTGCTCCCTTAATATGCACTTTTTTACTGCTTTTCCTACCTAACACGTTACCAGGAAGTCACGTTACCAGAGTCAGAGTAATAGTGAACACGTTTGACAGTGATTGTCGTCGCCTCATATTCAGCGTCGACAAATAGGGGAATCCCCAGTCATAATGTATTGCATGCGTGGCGGTCTTACTTCAAATCCATAAACAAAGAGATAATTACAGAACTCGATACTAGATGGCGCTGTTTTTGTTTGAAGAAAGTTTGCGGGCTAAAATACATAGAATTTCATCAATGACTTCCACAAAGAACAACATTTCTGTTTTTTCTAAGTCCGTATCTCTTCCGTATATTTCATAAGATATAAGCTTGGGCTACATTGTTATGCAACGTGATTTTGTCGCTGTCTTGCTAGCAGGGTTGACAGATATACGATTTAAATCGTACTCATACTATTATTTGTCTATTTTTTAATGTACGATCGTAAAGATTATGATCGTAATTCGCACAAAAACATACGACTTTTTGGTTACCTGGCAACATTTTTATTATGAAACGAACATGCTCACATCATCAGTCACATGCAACAATTTATTGGGGATTTCCCCTTCACATCTGGCAGTCCTGCTTGCTAGAATATAGGTAAGTCAGCCACAGTTACTGACGATCGATATTTAAAGGGTATTGTTTTTGTGCTAAATATTTCATAAAAACGTTATTTAATACTTTGTGGATTATTAATTTAGTTGATAATCACTGGAAGTAAAATGGATGCTAATTTGAGAGATCAAGATCTTCGTATAAAACAGTTAATAAAAGAAAATCTACGTAAGTACTCTTTTTATACCTAGGTAGGTAAGGTATAATAAACACAAAAGGTACTTAGATCGCGTGTGTTCGAAGCATTTATTCTAATAAATTTAATTTAAAATTGTAGAAAGAAAAAAATGTCTGCCAAGCCGTAGCCGAAGCCGATCTCCAAATATATTTGGCGATAGTGAGACCCAGTGTCCAGATGATTTACCCAGCGTCGTCGCAACAAAGAAAAAAACGAGGATAAAGTAAAAGAAAATTTACTGAAAGAAGAAACAAACTGTTCTAAATGCTTAATTTATGGAGAAGAGGATAAAAGAAATGAGTATTTCGGACTGTTAGTGGCTCAAGAATTTAAATATATACGGCCATGTGTGCGAACGAGGTGTTATGAAGAAATTTTAAAGTATCTACGGGAAGCAAAAGGCCAACATGTTGATCAACTGCAACATGAAAACACTGAAAATTAATTACTTTCATTTTATTATATATAGATTTTTAAAATTTCCTGAAATATTATTAGTTAACGTTTTATTTAATATTGTAGAATTGATCAATACAATTTATAAAAATAATTTATTGGTATTACTTACATATTTTCAAAAAAATACGTAAAAACCTATTTTTTTGGGTGATTATGGGAGTTTATGGGTGTTTATTGGGTTTTTACCAAAGCACCGGGTTTAAACCCGGTGCTTTGCCCATCTGTAATCCTGATTGATTTATTGTTGAATTCATCACGATGGGCCTACTGACCTGCTTTATCATCATCTATTAGCTATAACTAGTACCTCGTCAATATATACCGATAGTACAGGCGGGGTAACCATTTCATTATCACCCATGAAAAAAAATATAAATAGACATATGTCGAGTAAATTATATATATATTTTACATATATTACAGAATGTATTAAGGTCGTTATGCTAAACTGTAATCATTATCTAGTTGGTTTCCAGAAACGTGAACAAAATTAAACGTTTCAAACTGTAACCCATACGTTGGGCATGTTATTCCTCATTCAGTTATTAGTGGGACAAAATATAAGCTTAAGCGGATAAAATTTGATAATATTTTCTTGACAAAAATTGCCTTTTTATTTATTCATTTCGGGATATTTATTCACTGGATGTTTTAACGTTTTCTTATGTATTATAATGAAATCATTTTGAATGCAATCATATTATTTACCGACTTTAAAAAGGAGGAGTTTCTCGATTCATATAATATATAGTGTGCACGAGACAACTTTTTAGTTTCCTTTTTAATTTTATTAAAAAGAAGTTTTTGTTTGTGATTTGAAGTTAGTGTCAGTTTAGTTTTGTTTTATTTGCTTTTTTGTTCCCTTGGTTTATTTATAATTATATTATTTTTCTAAAAACACCGCGTTTCCATACCAGCATACAGTTCTTTCGCCCACATATAGCATAGAGCATATAGTAAGTCCCCTAGTTTTTTCACCGGTCAAGAATTACTGTGAGGCCGAAGAAGTCAGGTGAATTAACTCATCGTGATAAATTCATCTGGAATTAACCAAGATGGTTTCCAGGGGGGACCTGATAAGTTATATTGCTAGCTAAAGGACTCCTAGCCCCTATTACTAACAATTCCTTTATGTTCTTCTGTTTATGATTTTAGTTTTAATTTGTAGGTACCCCAAGGTTTTAAATACTTATAATATGACCCGAGGTTGGAGTATTAATCGCTATTCTCTTTTACCAAAGACTATATTTAAACGTCGTACACTGAGATAATTATACTATCACCAAGGTGGCACGGAGGGGGCCGGCTGTCCCCCGCGACGTGAGAGGTCGCACATGGCGTCACTAATTAAAACTATGGTGCCGTGTTGCCTGTTAAATTACAAAGACCAGATCCAGTGTCGTTGTGAAAGAACTTTTCGCCGTCTGTGTACATGGGTGCCACTACTGCACTACTGCGAATTTTATACTCTGTGACAACAAATAAGAGCAAAAATGAAATTGTTTATTTTTAACGTTGCTTTAAAATCCCACTTGAGAGCTTGTTACTTAGTGTAATTGTAAAACGATACCTATATTACATACGGCTTTGCCCGCGTAAATTGATGTATTTTAAATCAGAATACACCCTGTCCGTATATATTACACTAGAGGGAGACTCGTTCGAAAGTCGTTTGCTTTAACACATTTCTCTCGGTCGTGTTTCTACCGTCGTGTATGGCTGTGTTTCGGTTTGAAGGGTGGGAATGGCAGTGAATTTACAGGGTACAGAGGAATAACACCTGAGTCCTTAGGAATGGCAACGTATGGGGGGTAACATGGGCGAAACAATATACTCTGTTATGTCCATGGTACTGCTTATGTCTATAGGCGACGGCTACTACTTTCCATTAGGTGGGTCGTCAGCTTGTTTGCCATTCTAAGTAGTATATAAAAAAAAAAATAATTGAATTCGTTTAGCTGTTTAAGCCTAAATGAGTAACAAATATTGAAATATAAAACCATATTTACAATCTTTGACACTTATAATATTCGCAGGATTTTTTCAATATAGAAACATACCAAGAATCTGTTTATTTTCTGTGAAATTATACGTAGTACTTATCTTCTTCTACTTATTTATCATAGAATAGGCCACCCCTCCCTATTCCATGGGTGTCATAAGAGCTGACTTAGGGAGGACGAGGGATGGGAAGCAGCGTTCCTCTTAAAACATCTCTAAAGCCTAACTGCGGTTACCAATCTGCCTGCCAAGCGTGGCGACTACTGGAAAACCCAACCCCAAGGCTTATGTTCAGCAGTGGACAAATAAGGGCTGTTATGATGATAATTTATTTATCTTTAACAACATTAACATTAGCGGTTGGTAGGATATGCGGTGCGCTCAATCGTTGCCCATTTTTAAAAACTTAGTTAAAGCCCACTACCTATCCTTATAATCACTTAGTCCTACGTATTTCCAGTTTTATGTGTGTTATATATATGTGTATTAATATGGTATATTTGTATGTATTTATGCGTATATATGTATATGTATGTATACATATGTGAAAGTGTATGTATATATATGTATATGTTTGGTTGTATGTGTTTATTTATGTATGTATATGTATATGACTATGCTGTCACAGATATTATTTTTTTACAAATCTATCTTTTTTAACGCGCCACCTACCTATTTATGCTTTAATTCTTTCTACCCAAAGGTTGTCTGGAAGAGATTGCTTAGCAATAAGACCGCCTTTTGTACTACACTATACGTATTGAAAATTGTTTTAACAAATCATGTTATGTTGGTGCAATAAAGTGTTAAATAAAATAAAATAAATAATAAATATGGAAAAGTATTTTAAAACTCCAAAAATACCGGAATCTAATTTTACGTTCATAATGTAAAGTAATTAATTTGTCACTAACTAACCCCCGTCGCTGTAATGACTTGCCATCAGTTGCCACGTGTCCCGAACATCACCATATAGGAAGTCAATTATCCCCTAAGAAAGTCATTAACAAATGTGACAAAAAGTTTCTTACAAAAAGTGTCAATGCAAAAAGTGAGGACAGAAAAAGTGAGGTCAGAATATGTTCTACAAAAAGCGATTTCGAAAAGTTTGTTAGGTAATAAAATTGTAAAAAGAATTATTAAAATTTATTACTTACCGAATGTTAAAACCGAAAGATTAAAAAAGATATCACCAAACACAAGTAAAAAGTGAACTGAGACGATTGATAAATAATTTAGGCAACATATCAGCTTATATAATGGAAATAAAAAAAAAGAATAGAAAAAAATATAAAGTAATAAAAAAAAATTGATTAATAATTTTTTCTTTCTTTTATATTTTTGTTTAACAATATATATATAATAAGAATCTTTTGATATATATTATTTATTTATTGGTAAAAAAATAAATAAAACTATTCACTAATTTAGAAATTTTATTTCAAATTATCTTTAAATACAAAATAATCAACAAAAACCACAAGTCTCCAGATTTCAGAGCCATCATTAGATAAAATTAGATCAAACAAAATTACACAAGAGATATTGATTTCTTCTCTAATTTCGTTTAGTGACCTATTACCTGAAGTTGTTAAATAATTATTATATACAGTATTAGTGATTTAAACTTTTTTATTATCAAAACTAATAAGTCAAAACTAACAAGCAATAATTAACATTTCACTGCATTCGAAGTCAGGAATAACAGTGATACAATCTCTATTATATTAGGAACAAAGAAATAAAGCATTTGCAACGAGCCGTAACATCTATTCAGTTAAATCACTTACTCGTTTCTAGCTAGTTATATGACATGTCGATCTTTTTTGATATTCGAGTGTTTTGATA